AGGTGATCGCATTTGGATATTTACGGGTTTACGATTTTCCCCAGTGGCGTAGCCAGGTGGGCCGTGAGGCACGTGCCTCCCCCCCCCCCATCAGGTTCGGGCCTCAGGGTCCCCTCGGGTTATTCGGGCCTGAGGGGCCCTGAGGCGCCAATTGGCCGCTAAGGGTCAATGCTGGCCATATTTGGACATAGAAGGGATCCACGGGGCTCGTAAAAACCCCTCATGGGCCCACAAGTACCAACACTAAGATCTCCACAAGGGCCCCAAGCCAGTCTCTGAGAGCCACTTGGCGGCCTCTGAGGGCCCCTTACCGGCTTCGGAGGGCCACATGTCGGACTATGGGGGTCTTAACCGGCCTATTCCCAGCCAGCAAATTTGGTCCTGGCCGTAGCTGGTCTTACTCTGGCTAGCTCCGGCATTTGCTCCGGCTAAAGTATGGGCAAGGTCTGGGGGCCTACGGGAGCTGACACACGATACCGGAGCTCGCCCGCATCACAGCCGGACTTATGCCGCATCAGCCGTGCCGTACCTCCACCGTACTTCAGCCACAGTAAGCCAGAGCAGCTATGAGGTGCAGCCGGACCTGGTCGTAGGGAGCCGGACTTGAGCCATGGCAGGGAGTCTGACTTGAGCCAGACTTGGCGGTTCGGAACCATAACTACCCGGGAGCGCTACGGCATATACTGGCTAGCCGGAATAGAGCCGTATCGACCCAAACCCCGGATCTGACGGCGATACCCTCGTCAGTTACCAGCGACCCTGACGGTCCCACACAGGTGACTCGGAGGGTCACAGCGGCGTCTGAGAGCACCATGTCCGGTCTCTGAGAACCCCACAAGGCTCCTGAAGGCACCGGTGACCTCTTGATATCTTCTTGTCGGCCTATGAAGGGTCCGTTCCGTAACAGCAGTTCTGAGGGCCACACGCGCGCCTGTGATGGCCCTAAACCAGTGTCTCTGAGAGCCCCCACAACGGCGCCTGTGAGGGCCATCACCGGCAACTGTGGAGCACCTACACCGGCGCCTCCGAGGGCCATACATTGCATTGCCATATCTGAGGGCCCCGCACTAGTGCCTCTTAAGGCCCTATATCGGCGGCTCTGAGGGCCAAACACCGTCGCTTCTGAAGGCCCCACAAGCAGGGATGCGGAGCTGGAGCCGGAGCCGGAGCTGGAGCCGGAGCCGCCGGAGCCGGTATATTTTGCCCGGAGCCGGAGCCGGAGCCGTATTGACATTTCACCCGGAGCCGGAGCCGGAGCTGGAGCCGATTTTTTCTCCGGAGCCGGAGCCGGAGCCGGAGCCGTCTGAAATTTCCACGGCTCCGCATCCCTGCCCACAAGTGCACATATGACGGCCACCCACCGGTGACATTTGAAGGCCCCACACCGGCGACTCTGAGGGCCCCATCGGCGTCTGAGTCCGTGCCGGTCTCTAAAGACGACCCCACAGGGTTTCTGAAGGTACCACCGGCATCTGATGGCCCTTTACCGGCCTCTGAGGGCCCGTCGCCGGTATCTGGAGCCCCCTGCCGGCTTGTAAAGGGTACGCGTTATCAGCTCTAAGGGTCAGACACTCGTGTACGACGGACCCACACCAGTGTCTCTGCAGTCTGCAACTTAACGTCTTTTTTTCGCCCTTCTTCTTAAGACTAACTTTTCTTTTCTTTACATTTTTATTTCATGCATTGTAAATTGCGTAATTGTTTTATTTTTAGTAGTGAAAGACTGCGGAACCAATTATTTTCCTCAAGCAGAGTTAGTGGGAGTTATTGAGGGACAAAATAATTGGGGGTGCTGACTGGAACATTTGGGGGTGCCCGGAAAACCATTGGGGGTGCTCATTTGAGCATTGGGGGTGCTGCAGCACCCCCAAAAGTATACAAATCGACACCCATGCTAAGGGGGTCCCCCTTCCCCCAAAAAAAACTTTGAATGCCTCTAGGGGCCAAAGTATAATATGTGGCGAAAAACAGACTTCACCGTTGGAATCAGCGTCCAAAACTGTACACATGGACCAGTTTTTATGAAAATCTGAGGGGGTCCCCCTTCGCCCCAAAAAAACTTTGAATGTCTCTAGGGGCCAAAGTATAATATGTGGCGTAAAACAGACTTCACCATTGGAATCAGCGTCCAAAACTGTACCCATGGACCAGTTTTTATGAAAATCTAAGGGGGTCCCCCTCCGCCCCAAAAAACTTTGAATGCCTCTAGGGGCCAAAGTATAATATGTGGCGAAAAAAGACTTCACCATTGGAATCAGCGTCCAAAACTGTACACATAGACCAGTTTTTATGAAAATCTAAGGGGGTCCCCCTTCCCCAAAAAACAACTTTGAATGCCTCTAGGGTCCAAAGTATAATATGTGGCGAAAAACAGACTTCACCATGGGAATCAGCGTCCAAAACTGTACACATGGACCAGTTTTTATGAAAATCTAATGGGGTCCCCCTTCCCCCAAAAAAACTTTGAATGCCTCTAGGGGCCAAAGTATAATATGTGGCGAAAACAGACTTCACCGTTGGAATCAGCGTCCAAAACTGTACACATGGACCAGTTTTTATGAAAATCTAAGGGGGTCCCCCTTCGCCCCAAAAAAAAACTTTGAATGCCTCTAGGGGCCAAAGTATAATATGTGTCGAAAAACAGACTTCACCATTGGAATCAGCGTCCAAAACTGTACCCATGGACCAGTTTTTATAAAAATCTAAGGGGGTCCGAATGTGATTCTGAAAGTGAATCTGAATGCACTAGGGGCCAAAGTATAATATGTGGCGAAAAACAGACTTCACCATGGGAATCAGCGTCCAAAACTGTACACATGGACCAGTTTTTATGAAAATCTAAGGGGGTCCCCCTTCCCCAAAAAAAAACTTTGAATGCCTCTAGGGGCCAAAGTATAATATGTGGCGAAAAACAGACTTCACCATGGGAATCAGCGTCCAAAACTGTACACATGGACCAGTTTTTATGAAAATCTAAGGGGGTCCCCCTTCGCCCCAAAACAACTTTGAATGTCTCTAGGGGCCAAAGTATAATATGTGGCGAAAAACAGACTTCACCATTGGAATCAGCGTCCAAAACTGTTCCCATCGACCAGTTTTTATGAAAATCTAAGGGGGTCCCCCTTCGCCCCAAAACAACTTTGAATGTCTCTAGGGGCCAAAGTATAATATGTGGCGAAAAACAGACTTCACCATTGGAATCAGCGTCCAAAACTGTTCCCATCGACCAGTTTTTATGAAAATCTAAGGGGGTCCCCCTTCCCCCAAAAAACTTTGAATGCCTCTAGGGGCCAAAGTATAATATGTGGCGAAAAACAGACTTCACCATTGGAATCAGCGTCCAAAACTGTACACATGGACCAGTTTTTATGAAAATCTAAGGGGGTCCCCCTTCCCCAAAAAAACTTTGAATGCCTCTAGGGGCCAAAGTATAATATGTGGCGAAAAACAGACTTCACCGTTGGAATCAGCGTCCAAAACTGTACACATGGACCAGTTTTTATGAAAATCTAAGGGGGTCCCCCTTCGCCCCAAAAAACTTTGAATGCCTCTAGGGGCCAAAGTATAATATGTGGCGAAAAACAGACTTCACCATTGGAATCAGCGTCCAAAACTGTACCCATGGACCAGTTTTTATGAAAATCTAAGGGGGTCCGAATGTGATTCTGAAAGTGAATCTGAATGCCCTAGGGGCCAAAGTATAATATGTGGCGAAAAACAGACTTCACCATGGGAATCAGCGTCTAAAACTGTACACATGGACCAGTTTTTATGAAAATCTAAGGGGGTCCCCCTTCCCCCAAAAAAACTTTGAATGCCTCTAGGGGCCAAAGTATAATATGTGGCGAAAAACAGACTTCACCGTTGGAATCAGCGTCCAAAACTGTACACATGGACCAGTTTTCATGAAAATCTAAGGGGGTCCCCCTTCCCCCAAAAAAAACTTTGAATGCCTCTAGGGGCCAAAGTATAATATGTGGCGAAAAACAGACTTCACCATGGGAATCAGCGTCCAAAACTGTACACATGGACCAGTTTTTATGAAAATCTAAGGGGGTCCCCCTTCCCCCAAAAAAACTTTGAATGCCTCTAGGGGCCAAAGTATAATATGTGGCGAAAAACAGACTTCACCGTTGGAATCAGCGTCCAAAACTGTACACATGGACCAGTTTTTATGAAAATCTAAGGGGGTCCCCCTTCGCCCCAAAAAAACTTTGAATGTCTCTAGGGGCCAAAGTATAATATGTGGCGAAAAAACAGACTTCATCATTGGAATCAGCGTCCAAAACTGTACCCATGGACCAGTTTTTATGAAAATCTAAGGGGGTCCCTCTTCGCCCCCAAAAAACTTTGAATGCCTCTAGGGGCCAAAGTATAATATGTGGCGAAAAACAGACTTCACCATTGGAATCAGCGTGCAAAACTGTACACATGGACCAGTTTTTATGAAAATCCAAGGGGGTCCCCCTTCCCCCAAAAAACTTTGAATGCCTGTAGGGGCCAAAGTATAATATGTGGCGAAAAACAGACTTCACCGTTGGAATCAGCGTCCAAAACTGTACACATGGACCAGTTTTTGTGAAAATCTAAGGGGGTCCCCCTTCGCCCCAAAAAAACTTTGAATGCCTCTAGGGGCCAAAGTATAATATGTGGCGAAAAACAGACTTCACCATTAGAATCAGCGTCCAAAACTGTACCTATGGACCAGTTTTTATGAAAATCTACGGGGGTCCGAATGTGATTCTGAAAGTGAATCTGAACCTGAGGCTGTCTTGACAGACGTGAAAACGGTTGAATATTTTCCGGTAAAATTTGGTAGATGTTCATTTTCGCTCTTTGTGATTCACGCTACATCACTTTTATGCCAATTCATTAATTTTTTTGAAGGTGGGAGGGTCCCTTTAACAAACGCTGCAACAAACATCAGGACTTGCAGTAAAAAACAAACACACAAACAAAAACAAACAAAAAACAGTCGAGCATGACCTAATCGAACTTACCCCGTTCCCGAGACTGCCTCCAATCTGCGGCGACTGCTCTCTGTCGTCTCTCCTCAGAACTGCTGGTGAGCTCGTCACACTGGAGGTGGCGCTGCTGACAGCGGGGTCCTCGGCATAGGCCTGGCTGCTGAGGGCACCCATACGCTGCCTGCGACTGAAACAGGGGTGCCGTTCCTTCAATCCAAATGCACGGGTTATATAAGGACATCAGAGGAGAGGTGAACTTGATAATCTGTCTTTGGTACCAGCTAATCACTATCCCGTTGAGCGCAACAAATCAATCTGACACAAAAAGGCAATGTCTCTTTGTCGTAAGCCCTTACAAACAGGCAAAATGCCTATTGCCTATGTTTTTATGTAACGATATAACTAATGAATATCTCAAAATTCGACATTCCTCCCCATACGTACCAGCCCCGGTCAGCGTGTGTCATTGTCGCCCGTCGAACGGGCTTGTGGTCGGGTCGGGGTCGCGGTCGGGGTCGCGGCCGGAGGTGACCCAGAGGGGACGGGGCCAGACCAGGCCGACCCCGGGCAGCGTGGAGCCCATTTGGCCCGCGTCCGGGACCTCCAGGATCTGTGAAATAAAACAAAAAAGCAAGGTGATGACCCACGAGAAAGAGAACCAGGGTGATGGTTTAGCAGGTCGACCGTAAAACGTCTTACGATTGTACGGAGTTGATACAGCAAATTAACCATGCTGATTAGACAATGCGATGATTAGTTTTATTCTTTTCATAATCATGCAGCATAACATCTTAGGTAAACGAACAATGGAACACACAGCATACGAATCAAGCGTTTGATTATTTATGACAGCCAATAGTACCCATATTACCCAGATCATACGCTCAAAGTCGCCCCACTCACTGGAGATGGTCATGGAGCGTCGAATTTGCCGCCGGAGTAGGGCGGTGGGCGCCACTATTGACTCCCGTCGGCGCGAGGGTCGCTTCGTAAACAGGTCCATCCACTGCCCCGTGGCCAGCTGAATCTCCCTGTTTCGATGAGCGATTGCACCAATAAACGACAGTAGGCGACAGTAAGCGATAGCGATTAGCGACAGATGACTATCGGTGGCTCAGGTTATTGGCAAGGCCAGAAGTCAGGCGGGTAGGGGCAGGGTATCTAAAACATCAGGAGTGCCTATTTTTTAGTAGGTCTTTGAAAAATAAGCACGAGCTTAAACGTTAATAGGGGGACACTAACAAAACATAAACAGTCGCGAAAAGAAAAAAAAATCTTGGGAGCAAGTAAACCATGTGCAAGGAAACAAGGAAACAGCAAGGAAACTAAATATTTTGTATCGCATGTCTAAGGAGTAAGAACCTAAGGACTGTTTAAACGATGTTAAATTCAATGTTCGTATTAAAATAAATAAACACGTTCATAGATAAGCCTTTGCCACGTCTTCGTACCAAACAGCACGAGTTAGGCTTAGTCGATAAAGGTAATTAATTAGAAACACCACCGGCCACCGCAAAGGTTCAACGTTACAACATGACTACATTTCGCTGTGTATCCGGAGGGGGCTTAGGGAAAAGGGATATGAACTCACATTTGTTTGTGGCAGACAGTGCAGACCCAGCCACGGCCGCCGGTGGGCTGCTGGCGGCAGTCCTTGCACACCGTCAGCCGGCACGACCTGCAGGGGGCACCCCTGTTGAATATCCGGCCCAGGGTGACCCGGCAGCGCGCGCAGGTGCGGCCGCCCGCCTGTCCGGGCCGCAGGACTCCCTGGAGTCGCAGCATCTGCAGTTCAGACTTCAGTCGCCTGCAACAGAGAACAGAGCTGCAGCTCAGAGTTCAGTCGCCCGCAACAAAGAACAGCTGCAGCTCAGTGGCTGTAACAGAGCACAACGAGCCTGATGACTGCGAACAGTGCCTTATGGTGAGCCTTGGCTGAATGTTGAACTGTGACACTGGACACTGAAAAACAACGATGAGCAATTGATCCCAGGCCCAATTAAGTCAGATGTAATTGTAGGTAAACCCTCGCCCTGGCAGGGCATTTTTCATAACACGGCCTGGCAGGGGGGGGGTCGATGATTGGCTCCTATGGCACCTAGAAACACCAAATTTGGTAGGTAGGTGGGCCCCCTGGAGTTCTCGCCCCTGTGCAAATTTGGTTGTTCTAAGTCAATATTTAGGGGGGTTTTGGGGGGTATAAATGCAAAAATTTAGCTAAAAACAGGTCAAAAGTGTTTCGCTTATAACTTTTGATCTAATTAAGATAGAGCAAAAAGAAAAGCACCAGTGAACTCAGCACGTCAAGGCGCGTCGAATGATATACTTTTTAGCTTGCTTAAGTGTACTTAAAGTTTTTCTTAAATTTTAAGTAAGCTTAAATTAATAAATTAAGTTAAAGTTAACCAAATTGCATCATATCGCATATCATTCGATTCGGCTGATCACCAGGAACACAATGATACCATTTTTTAAGCTCTAGCGTCAGTATGTGCCAAGTTATTGGCAAAAACGTCATTTGACCTCAGTTGACCTCATTTGACCTGACCCATGGATAAGTACACCGAACAAAGAAGCACCAAGTGACCTGCTGTTAATTACTGTGGTTTCAAAGCACAAAAGTGATAGAACGAAGCGGATATCTCCAGTATTTTCCGAATTTAGTATTTTCCCATAGGCTTAACATTACGACGTAATGACCTCTAACTGACCTCAGGTCAGTGACCTCAAAAAACCCGAACTGTATGTTATACAACTCGGTGAACTTAGCACATCCTGAAAGTTTGAAGGAAATCAGTGCAAAACTGTGAGTTGGACAGGTGCAAAAAGAAAATTGAAATTTGACCATGACCTTGTACCGGTTTTTCTGACCTGGTGACCTGACCCAAGGTCACTTGGACCTGAAATTTTCAGGTCATATGTAAAAAGGTTGCCCCATAGGCTGTGCCAAATTTGGCGGCGCTGCGCGCCGCCGTTTTTACGCTATCTTTGAAAAACCTTAGGGGGGGGGGTCGCATCGACCCCCCCCCTGCCAGGGCGAGGGTTAATATCGGACCGTCCTTCCATGAATTTACTTTAGAGATGAGATCGCCTATACTGCCTACTGGTAGAAACATCGGCTATCGCACTTGCCTCCATCGAAGCCTAATTTTCAAATGAACAGTGCATACTTACAACTTGAAGCATAGAAATTAGAAAGTATTCATTTACCGATAGGTAAATTCCTCAACATGGATGAAAAGGTTGCAATAAAATGCAAAAAAAAATGAGGGGAATCTGCAGAATATATAAAAGACCACTTAAAAAAACTCGGCGCATCTTACCACATTTCCGTTTCCCACGTTCATCGCAATGCCATGATCTCTCCGTATACCGTGGCTTTATCCGATTCACCTTATTGAACACGAAAATGCAGCGAATTCTCATATAACGCGAATACCCTCGCAATCTTCACTACATTCTAACAGTCATCTCACTATCAGCCATCAAACTCAACGCACAGAGTAGACCTAGAGCAGACACTTCTTTTACGCACCCAGATAAGTATGGCTGACGCGACTGGATGACCGACAGAACTGCAACTGGAGAACTGTTCTCGTCAAACCACGACAGCCATTGGAGGAGAGAGCGAATCCATTAGCGGGTGACAAAGTGAGGTGTTTCTCTGACGAATGGCTGTCACGGAACGGCCGGTGTAAGTGACCGGTGATATTGGCACAGCTGATCCGTGATTGGTGCCCGGTGCAACGAGAGACATATGCACGTTCAGCACTCAGGGCCGCATAACGCCATGCCGTCATTACGCATTCTTGTCCAAATACAATGCATTTGTGCTTGCACGTATTGTAGATAGATCGTGTTAGGTTATGTCAGGTCAGGTAATAGGGGATGGACATTGGACACAACGAGGCGAATAAATAAATAACTGAGCCCAGGTCAGGCCAGGCCAACCATCACGAGTCCGCCTGGACATTTTTCTCGAGCTAAGCGCGCTCAAATAGTAGCTTCCAAATGCTCCAATGAATGCGAATATTTGCTGTTTTCGACGTTTGATTTATTCGTCGTTTGATTTACCTTTCATTTATTAAATTTCTCTTTATGTATCTAAAAGATTTGCTATTTCAACTCATCTTTATTGAGAATTAGCTAAGCTAAATACCGATCAAAAACAGATCTAGACGGGCTTCAATTACTGAATCGTCTCATTTCAAGCCACCCCCATTATCTTGAATAGAGTCACGGTACAAGTTAGAAAAGCGAAACAAGGACCTCCCACTCGAATATCTCTGCACGTGCCTCAAACGTCGAAGCACCCACGAAATCACGCTTGCGAGTCACGCAATCCTGCGTGAGAGCGTCTCGTGAGAGTCCCGTGGATCGCGTATGAGTGCACTGTCCGTGAACCGTGATCACTGGTTCGTCTGGGAACGGAGCGCTGTCGTATCGTCGCCCTGCACTGACAGGATGTGGAGCAGCCGCCACGGCCGGTCGGGCACGGCACCGCGCCGACCGCGGCGGTGTGCTGGACGCACGGCCGTGGTGAGATGCCCCCTCTTCCGGCAACACCAAAGATCTGTGATCTAGCTACACACTCTTGTAGTCTGTCAGCAGCCCAAAACAGCCTGAAACGGTGAATGTCCCTGCTATACGGTCTATACCTACTCACCAAATTCGAATTTTCTCTTCCCGTCGCAGTGCTTCATCCCTTTCGATGACATCCAGAATGCGCTGCTGCTCTTCTGAAGTCAGATTTAGGTCCTGAAACGCCAGCTGAGCGGCATTTGTGACGTCACTTACGGCCATTTTCGTCTGCAACACAGGGACTGAGGTGGGTCACTGGAGTTGTGACGCTGGCTTAATCCATATATCAACCCGCTTCCCGCTGGGGGGGGGGGGGCTGAATCTGCCTCCCTTTCGTGTTTTTCAAATAGCTTCAAAGCGCGTTATGTCAGCAAAGTAAAATGTTTAGTTCTTGTCATCCATTACTTAAACATGATCCCTAAAATTTGGGTGAAAATTGACCTTGACATGATTCATGAACTCGATCAGAGCTTCTTTCAAATATGGTTCATATCACTGACTGAGTATGTCCATTGAGTTTCGTGAATAAAATGACCCATAAACGTGTCGCATATATCTTAATTCTATAGTTAGTCTGTGGTGACCTGACCTTGACCTTGACTTTTGCATGACATTGTATGCAACGCATCTTGTATTGGTAGCCTAATCAATCCATTACTCGCCAACTGCGCTCCAAAGCTGATTATGTAGAAACCGGCCGTTTTTACCCTTGACCTGACCTTGATCTTGCCTCTAACCTGCCAGGACAATTTTTTGCTTAAAGTTCCATCCTGCTGATTGCTTTTCATTGCCGTTTTCCCGTCTTTCTACCACCTCGGATCGTAAGTAAGTGGGGAGACAGAATCTGCCACTCCCCTCCCCCAACCCCCACCCCTCCCCAGCAGGGCGCGTATGGCCGAATAGGGTTAACCCGCGCCCCGCTGGGGGAGGGGGGCAGAATCTGCCCCCTCCCGTTTTTCGCCAATAACTTCTAAACGCGTTACGCCAGCGACGTCAAACTATCAGTACCTTATCATACATCAATATAAGATGCTTCCTAAAAATTTGGGCGAAATCCGTTGGATTTTTTTTTGAGAAAATGACGTTTTAGTGACGTCATGTCCGCCATTTCGCCTCAAAAACGGCAAAATTTCAAACGCCGCTAACATCTTCATTTTCAAAGGAATCAAGACAATAAAAATTGTTACACGTGATTCTACTTTGTCTATCAAATGGCTATCTCGGTTTTTTGAAAATTTTGGATTTGGGCCCAAATTTTTTTCTAAAAAAACTGACTTTTTTGGGAAAATAATTAAAAAATCCAAAATTTTGAGTGTATTAAAAAACGGAAACACGTCAGAGACGTGGTCTATGTGCACCTATATACCAATTTTTAGATGAATCGGTTCAAAATTGTGGGAGTTATTCAAAATTTTATGACGTAACGACACACAAAATTTTTGAGAAAAAAAAGGAAGTTCTAGATCTCGTACGGAAACAAAAATAGCACCATTCGTTTCACCGTGAAAAACTGCATCAGCTGTACACCTTTTTAGGCCTTAACAACCAACTTCAAAATTTGACCTCACTTGACCTGACCTTGATCCCTGACTTCGACCTGAAAATCATCCAGATGTGGTCCATATCACTTATTGAGTGTGCCTATTGAATTCTATGAATAAAATGACCCATAAGACATCTATCGCACATGCCGTTTTCTATATTTCGTTTTGGTGACCTGACCTTGACCTTGACCTTTGCATGATATTGTATGCAACGAATATTGTCTTGTTAGCCTAAGAACACGTTTTGGGCAATCAGTCTCAGTCCATTCTTCGGCAACTACGGTGCAAGGCCGATAATGTAGAAACTTGCATTTTGTACCCTTGACCTGACCTTGACCTGACCTCTGACCTACTTAAGCAAAAAAATTGGGCTCTTAAGATCCGCCTTGTTGAGAGCTTTCGATTGCCGTTTTCCCCGTCTTTCTACGACCATCGGTTCGGAAGTTCAGGGGGCAGCGGAGCGCGGGTTAGGTAAGTTTGTTTTTATGCACAGTGTCATGAGATGACGAAGTGTCACAGAGACGTCGACGTGTGTACTCTACATATACATGTAGAGTGTGTACTCTACATGTACAACACTTACCTACCTATAGAGATGTCAACCGCAGCGTACCGCACTCAACAGTCAACGTGACCCAGAGATGAGAAATCCAAACACACCACATAGCCGTCAAGGCACCGACGCAGCCGTCAACGCAGTCTAAATATATCACCGTAGCACAGAGACGCCAACGCACCACGCAACCGCCAACACACCAGACACACACTCTCGGCGCGGCAGCGGTGCGGCGAAGTGACGCGGCTCGCCGCACCTCGCGCGGCTCACGGCGGCTCAGTGCTCCTGATGAGCTGCGGTGCAGTGAGCCAGCCATCACTCTCACCAGTTTGAGTCATGGAGTGCTGGCTCCAAACTACGGCAATAGAGTGGTAGGCAATTGCGTGACATAGCCACTTTCATGTGTAGTGTCAGTGTGTGCCGTGTGGCATGGATGTGTGCGAGGCATATATTCGTGATTTAATTTAAAAATGCATAGGTAGGTGTATTGAGAGACCAAAACGGCGAAAGTTCGTCACTTCTTCTTGTACCTATTTCGTTCTTTCTTTTGCAATACATAGTAGGTACCTATTTTCTCAAAAGTTTAACTCGGATCATCATTTCAGACATTCTTCGATAGAAGGTAGGCCACGAAACACGAATTTCACGCTAACTCAGGCAGTAGACGCGCATCTGTGCGCCACGTGATCCACGGTTTCTCTTTCGGCGCCAGTCACCTTCCACCAGCACTGGAGTACACTACGAGGCAGCGGACGTGCGGGTTAACCCTCGCCGGACCTATTGGTTTTCTACATACGCGCCGGCCGAGGGGGGGGGGCGGGTACGACCCCCCCTCGCCGTTTCGCCCCTGGTGAAGCTAGCGCGTCGCGGAAAAAACGAGCGTGTGCGCCGTTACAAGACGCAGAGATTGGTACCCGATTTTAAGGTCCTAGGTCAACCGGTGACCTCTGAGGTCAGGTCAAGTGCCCCAGGGTACGGTTCAGTTTTTGGTGAATAACTTCGCAAAAAACGGCCGCAGAGCCGCGATTTTGGCAGCATCGTGTTCGCCTCGCTCAGGCGCGTCGAATGATATACTTTTCGTTCGGGTCAGGTCAACTTAGGGTGTTGACCTCAGGTCAAGGTCAGGTCAGCACCCCCAGGTCACGAAGTTGGTCGAAAGAGGTCATGTCGCATATCATTCGATTCGGCAGGTCTTCCTGAGTCCATTGGTGGCTTTCTCGACTCGCTAGCTCAATTTGGTCGGGAGTTATTGACGAAAAACTAATATGACCTTGATGACGTCATAAATGACGTCACGGAAGGTCAACATTGCAAAAGTGACGCATCTAACCTTGCAAGGAGTGCATAAAATCACGATTCTGTGTGCTTGAGATAGTTGGAGATCGTTCCCGGCACCAGAATAGCAGTTTTCATTTTTCCCCATTGACTTATAATGGTGAGGTCACGAAAATGACCTGACCTCATATGACCTTAAGGAAAAATCCGAGATATACAAGTTGTGAGACTCATAATGGATACTAGATCCTGCAAGTTTCATTTCCCTGTGACATCTCCTCTGGCAGTGAGGGCGTTGCGAACTTGCGACATCTGAAGACCGTGCAGAGGTTCACTTATGACGTCATAGGTCAGTGACCTGACCTGACACAAAAAATGCGGTTGGTGTCAAAAGATGCGACTTGGATCAAAGGTCAGGTATGCCAAGTTTCAGCTCTCTATCGCCAGCGTGTTCGGAGCTATCGCGAAAAAAACCCTATGGGGGGGGGCGGCACCCGCCCCCCCCCCCTCGGCCGGCGAGGGTTAAAAGCGGGACCGTATTATCAGAAAGCGGATAAATGTCCCATTTTAAAAGGCAAGTTACGCAGAACTAACCGCCTTTTTCAGGAATGTCATACTTCATAGAGAAAAAGATAAGGTAGAAGACCGTTTCTGGGCCAGAACGTTGCAATATATTGTTTATACATAAAGATAGGTTCATACCGAAATATATAAATTATTGTATTTCTCGACTGCTTGATAACCTGCAAATATTTCGCCAAAAAGGTAGGTATGTACCTGTGTAGTGTGTAGCGTGTACTTACACCGACAACATACAACTTTTTGTTTACCTACCTAAACGGTTCTAATGGGTGTGGTCCACTCGGCGCGTTATGCGCGCGCCTGGTTGTTATGCTGTTCCGCATGTGTCTCCTTGCGCACGTGTCGGTCGTCCTGCGCGGCATTAGCCGTTTTCACGACGGCCATCTGGTACACATTTGGTGCAGATCTGGTACAGATCAGATGAAATAAATTACAGATGAAAAATAAAAAAAAAAATAAATTTATTTAAAAAAAAATAAATATATAAATGAAATAAATTTATAAAATGAAGATATCTGCTGTAAAAGAAATTAGGTGCAGATTTGGTCAAATCAGGTGCATTCGCCGGATAGCCCGTCGTGAAAACGGCTAGTATCAGATACATAGACCGGCAGAACGAACAGCTGTGCCCTCTACATTTATTTTGATATCAACAGCACGAATTCGCGACCACACTTGTTGCACCGCTGAAATGGTGAATGGTGGTAATGGTGGGGGCACCAATGCATTGGTGCCCCTCTCCCCCACACTTTGAAGTTATTTTCCGATTGTTCGGAACGCATTTGGGATGAAAGTTGACATATCTGACCTTGGCCTCAAGAATGATCTTCAAACAGCAACGAGCAGCCGCATTTTCAGGTCAGGTCAGGTCACTGACCTATGGCGGAATAAGTGATCCTCTGCACGGTCTTCAAATGTGGCAACTTTGCAACACCCTCAGTGCCAGGAATATTTCTCAAAGGGAAGAAACATAGGTACAGGACGTAGTAACCTCACAATCACCCACAACGCTTATATCTCAGATTTTTCATAAGGGCCACCTGAGGTCAGATCAGGTCATCGGGTCAGGTCAGGTTATCTGACCTTGGGGTCAACGCCCTTATTTGACCGCTGTCAAACAAAGGCCATGTCATTCGCACGCCGGAGCAGGACGACCTTAATCTTTTTTTGCCAAGTTATTCGATAATAATCGCCTCCCTTACCTGACCTCCATTTGACCTGACCTCAGAGGGGAGGCGGGAGCTGAGACTTTAAAATGGGGTACCAGTTGCCGTGTCTCGTAGCGGCGCACGCGCTCGTTTTTACGCAAAATTCTATCTCAAATCGGGGCGAAACAGCGAGCAGCCCCCTGCCCCCCCCCCTTCCCCCACTCTCCATCGACCTTGTGTGTAGAAAAGCGATAAGTTCGGCGAGGGACAATGCAGACCAATGAATAGGTAATACAGTCCACTAATCGTAAGGCCAGCATCAAATCGTCGTATTGATTCAGCAAAAAAGCATGGACCTGCAGTCTGCACATCCAAAAGCATGTATTACATTATACTATATAGTATATATGTTGACATTTTCGAGTAAACTCAATGCAACTCACCTATTGTAAGGTGTCGAACGGTCTAACTTCTCAATCCTCCGAATCAAATCCAAACCTTCGTCGTCCCAGTAGTTTCCTGTGCCAGTGTGCCACTCCCTCGTGCCACCACAGCCCCGCCCTCGCCCAGACTGTGCGGAAGCGAGTCCGATCAAAGACCACAGTCGTCGAGACGTCGCCGCTCGCGATCGCACTGATAACGCCCCGAGACACGGCGAGTGCAAACAGCCCCGGGCGGTTGTGACGTCACTCGCACGGGAGCGGCGATTGCCCCGGGCGCCGGGTCACGTGACTGACAGAACTGACACCGCGCACGGAGCCGGCGATCGGAACAGCGCAATGCCGAACGCGCATGTCGCCGGCGATTGTTCGCTTTCGTAGCTGTCATCATAAGCCACACATCGGACTCCGGAATCAATCGATCGTTGTGTACCTATTCGTTAGAAAAAAAAGTAAAACTCGAGCTTTTGCAAGTCAATCCGAGGCTCAATCGCGTCGCCATTCTTTAACGATAACTTGTGTGTGACTCTACGACCGTTTTCCTTCAGAGTTCAGACAACTCCAAATGGATAGCTGACGCACTTGAGCAACAGTAAAAATAGCGGCATCAAACGACATTTGGAAATACCTTTGTGAGGTCTCTTGACAGACAGTCACAGACTTACGTACCCTCGCACTTCTAGCCTTCTGGGGAAGGGTCGAACGAGACCCATTCCCTTGCTTTTTCACAAATATCTCGCGTAAACAACGACACATCGCGCCGTATGTTTTATTCATAGACGGGCGGGAACAGGGGGGGGGGCAGCGGGGGCGCTTGCCCCCCCCCCCCCAACTTGGGAGCCGAGGGGGCGGCGCCCCCTCAACATTGAGGCAGCGAGAAAAGGTCTTTCCTCCCTTTTCCGGACTTCTTTCCTTCTTGTTTCCTTTATACATCTAAACATCAACACACGGCATTTTCCTTGTCATCTGAATGGTTTCTGCTGATACAGTATCGATTTGACAACATCTGCTATTGTCATCCCGCCTTGATTTGGGCCTGACCTTGGCCATAGGCTTGGCAGGCCAGTTTTATACTAGACCATTTTGAGTCAACTTTGAGAAATGCATAACGTACAACGGTGGTAAAATCGTTGCTATAGGTATAACACAGTTAACCCGCCCCGGCTGTGAGGGAGGGGTGTGGGGCAATGAGTGCACTGACGTGGCGCCCTCTGTAAGGGATGGGAATTGGGATGCATGAGATACATTGAGGGCCGGTATGGGATTAAAGCTCAGCGACACTACGGGCTTATGTGGTGCCTTCGGTTATCGGTAGCAACTAGCACCCTCAGAATCACCGGCGTAGGGCCCTCAGAGCCGCCGGTAAGGGGCCTTTAGAGGCACCGGTGTGGGGCCGTCATGCAGGTGCCGGTGTGGGCGCTCAGAGGTGCTAGTGTGATTCTCTCAGAGGAGCCGATGAGGGTCCTTACAGGCGTTGCTGTGGGCCCTCATAGACGCTGGTGTGGAGCCGTTACAGACGGGTGTGGGGGCTTTAGAGCTGCTGACGCGAACTCTCTACAAGCCGGCAGGGGTCTCAGTGACCGGCAAGGGGTCCTTAGGCCGGCAGAAGAAGTCCTGTGGGGTCCTTAGAGACCGGCATGGTACTGTCAGACGACGGGGGGGCCCTCAGACCCACCGGTGTGGGACCCTCAAAAGTCACCAGTGGGCGGCCTTTAGATGCGCAGGTGTTGGCTGGGTCCTCAGAGCCGCCGATACAGGGCTAATTTTAATAAGCACTGGTGTAGGCACTCAGAGTTGGGGGTGTGAAACCCTCAGAGACACCGGTGTGGGCCCTCATAGGCGCCGATGAGGGCCCCATAGGCCCATAGCTGCCGTTATGGGGCCCTCAGAAAAATAAGTGTGGGACCATCACAGGCGGGAAATGCCCCTAGAACTGACCCCTCATAGGCCGGTAAGGACTCTCAGAGACCAGTAACGGGCCTTTGGAGACCACCGAGGTGCCCTGAAAAGGCGCAAGACTGCCTTCAGAAGCCGGCGTGGGGCCCTTATGAAGATCTTAGTGTGGCTATTTAGGGCCCATGAGGTGCTCTAACGAGCCCCATGGGGCGGTCAGCGGTTTGACCTTCAGCAGTCAAATGGCGCCGCAGGGCCCCTCGGACCCGAGGGTCCCTTTGAACCCGATGGGGGGGGGGGGTACGTGTCCCCTTAGACCCCTAGCTACGCCACTGTTTCATATGCATCATGTCAGGTATTTTAGGCTCGCCCCCCCCCCCAACTTGAAAATCGTTCCCGGGCCCCTGGTTTTATTACAATTTATGAATACAATCGACTAAATTAATTTTATCTCTTCTACGGCACTGATAAAATGACCTTCGGCCTGTGACACCTTTTTATGAGAGAATGGTGATTCGCCGTGTCAGTGCACACTGCACAGTTTCAATGCGTTCTTGGACTTTTTGTGTTTGGAAACGTGTCAACATGTTAATGTGAAAAGTGATGTTTGTTACGAGCGAGCGAGCGCAGCGAGCGAGCGAGTTCATACTGAAAATCCTGAGTATGAGCGGCCGGCCGGCCGGCCGGCCGTGGGGACGCTCTTCAAAAGCTTATAGGTATCTTAGGAACGGGACATCCGATTGACAAGCGGTCTTCTTTACTGAATGTCACTTGGACGTAAAAGTTCTGTGCTGTGATGGCCACCATACGTTCTTGCCAACCACCGCACGTGGCGCGTGGTAAAGTTGGACATTTTTAAAGAACCCCCAAAATTGCAACCTCAATAACGGCACAACGGTTGGGCCGATTGAATTGAAACTCGGTACACAGTTAGGTCTCCATCAGATAATTCATCTGCATGTGTTAAAGGGACCCTCCCACCTTAACATTAGATTTGAGTTGAGATAGCCGAAATGGGGTCCCTGGCTCACAATTACCGGTTTCGGCAGTTACAACATCGAGAAATGCCTTAAATCGGAAATATTGAATTTCAAAATTGCAGCATTTTGATTCAGAGGGGCTAATGCATAGGAATACCCCTCTGAATGTGTGACGTCATCGCAGATATCTAACGATTTTTAAATGTTTGACTAAAACGTTTTGTAGCACGCGGTGGTGTATGCTGCTTTGCGCGCAACAAATGCCGCACTTTCAAATAAAGTCGCTAGGAACAGCGGAGATCCCAAAAAGTAAACAAAAGTAAAAGTCTAATATCTTGAAAACCGGTGAATATTTTTCGATGAAATTTGGTAAATATTCGTTTTTGCTCTTTCTGAACCGAGCGACATCACTTTCATGCCAATTCATTAACTTTTTTGAAGGTGGGAGGGTCCCTTTAAGGTTAGGGTGCTACTGCACGTGCGCACATGCAGGGGGCGTTTCCAGATCTCGAGAACGGCTGGGCCGATTGCGCTCAAATTTGGTACAGGGTTGGGGACCGGTTAGTAGGATGCCGTGCAAAAGTCATTTTGGACCCTGTTTGCACGTGCGCACGTGCAGAATGCCGCTTCCAGATCTCAGGAACGGCTGGGCCGATTGCATTCAAATTTGGCACACCGCTAGCGACCGGTTAGAAGGGTGCTTTCCACAAGCCAGTTGGAAGTACCCTCTCGCCCTTCCGCGCGTGCAGGGCTCACTATCTCACTCGCTCGTTCTTCGCCCAAAAGGCGTTTTACTGGTCTAATACATTGTGGTGGGTATTAACTATCAAGCTCACATGAGGGTCAGGCCACTGCCTGACCTTCAGATGGCCTCGATTAACTTTGTTCTTAATTTTATAACTTTTTTGGATAGTTTTAGAAGCTGATTTCGAATTTAGGACCATCTCATGCACTTACGTGTTTTTGTATTCATAGGCTCCTTGCAAGGTACGTACGGTGCCTAAATTTTGCATCGTTGACCTTCCGAATCCGTGACCTCGGCTCATACCATATAACGCCAGTAAAGTTATCGGAGTTGTTCGTCAATACCTACCCAATTCCCGATCTAACTGAGATAATAGTCATAATAGAAGCAAGTCGGGAAAACCATCCTCACTGGGCTAAGAAAAACTCGCCCACTCGAATGATAGGGATGCATTGTGACTTCCGGACCGTTTGAACATTTTCATGACGGCCGAGCTGTGGCTTTGACCTGATGTTGACCTTAGGTTGAGCTTTTGACTAGTTGAATTTCCCTTCCCAAACGAAATACCTACACGTACGAGCATTGACGCACCTGTGCCCTGAGCCATGCCCCTCAGAAATCACCGGCTGATCTGGTCAATGGGTTCGTAAGTACATATCAACCAGACTAGAATTGGAACTGGGTGCCACCGAACCAGTCACTGCATCCCGTTGCCTCGTAACCCGCGAGTTGCTGGGGGGGGGGGCGTTAAACGCCCCCACTTTTTTCGCCGGGCCATAGCATAAAAACGGCGCGCCGCAGGCGCGCCAAATTTTGGGTACCTGTAGGAAATCGATTGAAGTTTATTGTGACCAAGTTTCAAAAAAATCAGTCGGAAAATTTTTGAGATATCGAGGTTTTAGTGACGTCATGATTTCTGAGTGTTCCACCAAAAACGGCATATGTTCAAAAAATCATATAAAATCACAGGAAAGACATACAGACATGCCGTAAACCAGGGACCGCGGATTCAAATTCTCGTAGGGTGTGCAAGATGTGGCGATTGGGCCCCCATCTCACGCCGGGCCCCTTCCAAAAAGTAAGCGCCGCCACTGCTCCGGAATAAGCCGGTTCTAAGGCAGCGGGGCGGGAAAACCTTCAAAATTGACGGTCGTAAGATGACTGAGCGAGCATCTTACGGTCAGGAGATGCATTAGCATAGTAAATGCACATGCATGCATGCAACGTGATCCAAATCGATCTCCGATTTTCCCAAACAGGCCCCTAAAGGCTTACAGTGACCTTCAAGGGCCCCTACGGGCCTCAGTGAGCCCTTTTGCACAGTTGATGTTGGCACACTTCTTTTTATCATGGATTACATGAATCAATTTAAAAATAAAACACGGCCGGCGGGATGTTTGGGCCCATCGATTTGGCCCCTATGACCTATGTATGGGGGTCTGGCC